CCAAATCTTTTTTTGGTGCTTGTTATCATTGATACTTCAGCAGCTTAGTCTAAAATGTGCCATACACAGTTGTTATACATAATAGGATGAATAATGAATAATAGCCATTAATAATAGTGATACAGCTCAATAATAATAAGTACACACATTTCAAATTGTATTAGAGCCTTTAAGAAGAACTCTTCACGAAAAGCCACTTCACATGAGTTTAAAAAAGAAAAGAAAAAGGTAATAAAAACAACACCACTAAGAAGGATAATTAGCTATATCTCCAACACTCACAAGAATTAACTAATAAAATCACTAAAAGCAGTTCTAAAAAGGTTGGGTTTTGATCAGTGATTGAGAGTGGAGTGCATCAGTACAGTCTTGGAGGTTTGGGAGAAGTTCCAGAGGGAGGGGGCAGCAATGGGAGAAGGCTCTGTCGGCCGCAGGTACGAATCTTTGGTCCTCAGTGGTGGAGATAATAGGTGGCTTCCAGAAGAGCAGACTGTCGTGTTTTAAGGAGTGTGGCGGATGAGCAGGCTCGTGAAGTAGAAGGGGGCCAGGTTGTGGAGGGCTTTGTCGAGTGAAGAGAAGGATCTTTAAATTGGATCCGTTGTTTGGACAGGGATTTGCTAGGACAGGGGGGTGAATGTGTCCACAGGGAGCGAGTATGGGTAAGCAGCGAGCAGCAGAGTTCTGAATGTACAAGTTTATTAGTACTTGAAAGACTGTATCATATAACGATGCAATAGGTCAATTCTGCATGTAATGAAAGGCATGGATGAGGGTCTCAGGCAGCAGAAAGAGGAGAGTGAGGGGCGAGGCATGCACATGTTTTTCAGGTGAAGAAAGCAGTTCTGGTGATTTGGTTGACGGATGGGTTCAAAAAGAGAGGTTGCTGTTGAATATGACTCCGACTTTCCGAATTGTCCTTGGAAGGAGACAGAGTCGTTAAATTCCCTGAATTAATTTCTGTTTTGTTATTTTTACTTTGGGTGGCAGCTTGTGGTGGGCAGGCCATTCTATCCCTCTAGAGCACCTGATATTAAGTCCAACTGAAATTACATTTATCACCCTTTTAGTCAAAATAACATTTGTTTAATGTCTTGTAAATAATTGTTATTAATGAAATGGAAGAAGAAGGTCCCAGCCGGCTGGTGTCAGGGTCCACAAGCTGCCACGAAACACTGTGCAAACGCTCAGCTTGCTTCCATTTGTTCTGAATGTGTTAAGCTGTGTCACATAAATGGTATAAGAGAAAATGATGTCAGTGTCTGTTTTTCAGCCTTTCTGCTCCCCCAATCTCAGTTGTGTATCTCACTTGTTCCAACCTTTTTGGAATCGTTATCCCCCCTAAAGCCAGTTTTAGATTTAGTGGCATCTTATTGCACGATTGGCATGGTTGCAAACTAACTGGAAACTGCTCGCTTCAGCCAAGCGAAGGAGAAACTGATGGCACACACAATTTGCCCACAAAACTGAAAGTTCAGAATGGACTTTACTACTGTAGAAAGCGTCGGCGCTTCAACATGAGGGCCTTCGTTAGAAGAGGACTCACTCCCGGTGTAGATAAAAACTCTGATTGCTAACGGCGGGGTAACAAAAGAACAAAGATTCTTATTTTCAGGTGATTATACACTAATGAAAACATATCTATGAATATTATATTCCATGTCTGCCAATAGATCCTCCTGAATGTTACACACTGGACCTTTAATATTTAATTTATATTTTAATGCCTTAAAATAACTTTTTTTTCATGATGTGCTTGTGTTCTTTTGTCCATCCTTGGCAATCACTCACAAACTGACTTGGCAGACAATTAGAGCAGAACACCTTTGGAATTGCTGTCAAGGGCAAGTGATATTTGGACTCAATTATTTTCCAGTCTGACATTAGAAAAATTGGATGAATCCGTGCAAAGATTGATCAGGACAACAAACAAATTTGCTGGGAAATGTCAGAACAGAGCTAATAAATGACGTGTGAAAAGCTGAGATGGATGGGACTCAGATTTGATGATCTTGGCAGTGACCTTTCCCTACAGTTACATTTACAAAATAATTATTCAGATCATGTCTCCCTCTGTGTCCCGACAGCTTTCTGAGGTTTTGCTCAGTGCCTTAAACCAAAACCTTGTCCAGTTCACGTTGCGGCCGGGGGTCCAAGTCACTGTGTACGCGGCACACCTATCAGCAGGTAAACAACCACGGCTGCTTGTGTATGTTTAGTGCTGCCCAGGAGGGCCTTTGTACTTCTGTAGTAAGTGGGACAGAACATAAAGCATGTAGACTATCAGACCTAGATACAGTTGGGCAGTCAGGTATATTTTTATTATTTTTGCCACCCCGTCAACTAATAACCCCAACCCTGTGTCTGATTGGCTCTCACCATGTAGCTACACAGAGACATTCAGAGAGTGAGCATCGTTACAAGTATGTGTGCCTCTTCCTATTGGGGATGCTGCTACTGTCCTAAAGGGGCTTAGAGTAAGAGAAGTCCATACTACTGTACATTAAAATGACTCATCTATGATTCACAAAGGTGTCAATTATCCTTTTGAGTGCTCATTGCATGATTCAACTGGGTGGAAATACAGCTTGCGTCAGTTGTCATCTGCTTAAACTCTGTGGCTCTTCCTGTCTTCCTGTCTCTGCAGCGCCCCTAGTGGACACCAGCGAGAACCACAGTGGCTCTGCCATGCTAATGCTGCTATCAGTAGTAGTTGTGGGTTTAGCTGTATTTGTCATCTACAAATTCAAGAGGTAAAGTGCTCAATGTGAAAATGTCATGTCTATACAGCCGCCACACGTACGTGGTAGGGAGAGGTGCCATCGAGTCCTGACAGCTCAGTAAACAAAAGCTGCCTGCGAGGCTACAGTTAAGGTTGATAGCTGCCTGTCAAATGCCTTCGCCGGCGTACCCAGTGCTCCTCGGCGGAGCTTCTCCCCTAACACATCTGCGGGGATCCCATGGAAATTCTTTTGTCAGGTCATTCTTTGCAAAAAGAAATGTCAGTCAGCCGTCAGCCGCTATCAATATTAAGCCCTTTGAATGTAGGCAGTTGACCTTTCTGAAATGTTAAATTATGTCTCCTCGGCAAGGTGCAGTTCCAAAGGAAAAGGGCACGAAGGGTCATGAAGATTTACAGACAAGCAGAGGCAAAACCTCAGATTTACAGATCTTATCGCTTTTAGTATTTGTGTAAACACTGAATTACATGCAAATGTGCTTTATCATGTCATCAGAAGTAACAAAGAAGTTGAGCAGAACTGCACACAGCCCAATCCCGTTCCCCAGTCTCCTTCTCTTTGTTTTAGTTAGGCTGTCGTCTTTATCCCTTTGCCTCACTGTAAATCTTTCCTCAAGGAAGATCCCAGGCCTCAACGTCTATGCGCAGATGCAGAACGAAAAAGAACAAGAAATGATGAGTCCAGCTAATCCAACAGAGGCCACGCCCAGCTCACAGCGGGACATGGTGCATTCTTTGGAGATTCTGGACACAGAGTTCAACTCACGGCCCATCGGTGAATATCCAGCTCGACTTATTTATTGATTGTTTTTCTCCATTGCTCCATTTATACCATTGTGTGTCGTTTCATGAGGCTCATCCTGTGCTTTTTGTCATGTGTTTCTCAGAAGTGAAATGATCTGGTCGAGTGGGGAACGAGAGCTAAGCAAACATGAGTATGATAAAGAAGTACAGCTGCTTCTCAATAGTACAATAACATTAATCACCTGAAAAGGTAGATGGGTGACAAATGAGAAAAATCATAAGCCTCTAGATCTATAGACATATATACATAGACGCCACATTGGCCGTCGGATTGTCAATGTTGCCGCCATATTGGAAACAAATGCATGTAAACGAGGGAGCTGAAATTTTTCTGGATAAAAAGCACTACAATGTTCACGTTTCTCAACTGATTTTTATTGAGTTTATGATAAACATAGAGTGTAATTGTTTTTTTGTCCCAAGTTATCTAGATTCCCAATAGTTAATAGGCTATGCTGCCCTACAAAGACAAACCGTAGTAACTACAATTTTGGTCAAAATTGAGTTATGAAAAAATTAACTTTTAAATGTCTGCTTTATTTTGTGACAACTTTAGTTGTCACTGTGTTAAATATGCAGTAACTACATAACCCAACCAAAAACCAAGACAAACTGCAGTCAGTGCAGTTACTGCGCTCTCCTTCGGTTTCTCAGTGCTTTGGCTGCAGTTACTGTGGCTAATAATAGTTTAGATACTACTGTGCTTGTTTCTTTGGGTTTTTTCTGTAATTTGTCACCCATCTGTATATTCTGATATATTTAACTGTGATGGCCTAACATAATGTCTGTTGTTACCCCGACTCTTTTTTCAGGGGTAGAGAATTTCTGCTAGATTTCCGTGGCTCTTTGAATGTGAAATTTCAGTGATTAACACTGCTACCTGTTGTCATTAACACATACTCACATGTTGTGTTCAGTTCCAATTTCCTTTAAAGTCAGACTATGTAAATTGTGGTCTTGGTCTAGTATGGCCGCGTTATTATGGATCTCACTGCTTATCTTGGCATGACAGGCCCTACAAATCATTCAAGGGCCAGGATTGGCCAAGCTTTCTGCTAAAAAGGCCTGCTAACTTATTGTGAAAGAGTTTATATGGACCCAAAAGTTGTTGCCTAAACATAGCCAAACTTTGACTAAAAACTGAAGATCAGTTAACAAAGATAATAATACAAGTAAGTCTAAAAACTGTCTCATGGGAGAGTAAAACCAGATATGTCCTGTGATTAACCCATTCATCCACCATTACTTCCTAGCTTGGATTTTGTTATAAAAATATAATAGTATAGATACGATAAAGCTTTTTTTTTGTTGCTTTCTTTATGTCACCTGATAAGCAAAGGCACCTAGCAAATCATAGCGCATGAATGCTACTCAGGGTGTATCCTGGCAACAAAAGCAGTGGGATTCATAATTAGACAGTGTGGCCAGTAGATTATGGTGGCTAAGGTTAGGTTGTTTGGGTAGATATTGCTGTGTAACTTACTTAGTAGTAGTAGTAGTAGTAGTAGTAGTAGTAGTAGTAGTAGTAGTACATTACTGAGTGAGTTCACTGACTTGTGCTACCAAGTCTTAGTATTTGCCATTATCTTGTAGATTAATTTTCTTGTGGCCACAGTGGTTGTTAAAAAACTTTACATAGTCTGACTTCAACAGCTGCTTTTGCGTTTTTCTATGTTCTTTCTCATCCAATTTCAAATTTATTCCATATTTATATTTTCTATAATAAAACACAATCAGTAAACTGCAGTCATTTAAACGTAGACTTTAAAGCTACACTAATCAATATTTGTAGTAATAAACCCACAAAGAATTATCACCAACTCTGTTTTTATTGTTATCAGGCAGCAGACAGACAATGTTAGCAGCTAGCTGGTTAACACAGAAAACAGAACATAAAGGAGTTGGTGAGGACTAAAACAGAAATTAAAGTAGAGTGACTATTAGAATATTGATTATTCATCAGGTGACCAAAAACACAGCTCCAAATGAATGCTAATGTTGCTCATGTCATTTGAGTTTGTAAATAACTGACAATTCACCAGCCAAAAATATTTTTTAACCACCATAAGTGCATCTTGTATTATTTGACTATTACCTCAAGTGTCAACCATTCTGACCCTTTTAAGCTTCATACTTAAGCCAGGATCTTGACGCTCCTGCATCGTTCAGCTCTCCTCATCTTCATGTTTTCTTCTTGGTG